GATGGTTACATGACCTGTTTGATGGTCACATTGAATGCCTTTCCATTTGCAACAATCTCGACTCTTCTCATCATCCCTCCATGTAGACAGCATGTTATAGGCATCTACAAGGCCAAGTTTGAAGTTGAGGAGTGCATGTCTCTCCCTATCAATGCACTTTTTTTGTGCAGTACTGTTGAATCCGAGAATGGATCCTGCAGCAGGTAACAAGAGCAGCACAAGTACATAAAACAGTTTCAGATAATAATTAGGCATTATGTAGTTGCTCATATAAAATAATAACAGTAAAACAGAAGTTGTGAACTATTCATTACAAAACCAAATGATATGATTTATATGGCTCATAGTCTGGCTAATGGAGAGAGACCCGTTGATTCTCCTGCAATAAGAACCCATACTTTACGTTATATATTTTTATTTCCTTAACTACCCTTCCGTGACTTTCAATTTAAAATTGTTTTTCTTTATATGTTATATTATGCCAATACTTCATACTTCTTATTTCCTGGATTCTTTTTCTAACTTTTAAAAAATATTCAAGCATTTTTCTTATTTTAAAATTAAAGATTAATTTAAAAATTAAAGATTAATTTAGAAATTAATTATTTAATAACTCAAATTTTGATAATTAATATTAGAAAACTTAGACTTTAATTTATAATTTAATTATAATTTTTTATTTATAATAGAAACTATTTTAAATATTAATAATTTTTAATTTATAAATTAAATATTAATTATTATTATTTATTAATTTTCTTATAATGTTTTACTGCCTCTGTAGCATTCTTTTTAACAAGGAACATCAAACTTAACAGAGTTATGGATATTTCTTTAGGTTATGTTTGAACGTAATTTGTATACATCCTTTAAAAAAAAATAAGAAAGAAAAATAATTTGATTTTTTATAAGTTTAAAATTAGTATAATTGTCTAGTTAACGCTTATCCGGACAGTGTTAGAGTTGGTTAACGTCAAACTATACAATATAGACCATTTAATAATGAGCAACCCCGATTTTGTGTATTTTCATCCAAACAAAATTTCGAATCAATTATTTCATCTTAAGAATAAACTTAATAGGTCATTTATAAATGTAAAAAATATAGACAACAAGTCAACAATCACTAAATTTAGTAGAAGAATTCTCTCCATCAAAATAAGCAATTGTTTTTAAAGAATCAAATATATTACAAATCTTATTAACTAAAGACGGAAAAACTCATGTCTTAAAAGCTTCAACAAAATTTGGTATATCCAAATAAAGTAGAAGAAAGAGATAATTGATTACAAGAAAGAAACCTCTTGATACCTCTAATCAAAAAAGAAAAAACATCAATAAAAATAACTTTTAACAAAACTTATCGACTAACAAAAGAAAAGAAAGTGTCATACATATACAACAAAGATATCAAATATTGTAGGGTTATAGCATCTCCTTAATAGAAACAAATATATTACTTGTGCCTAAGAATATTTTTAACGCTAACGGTTGCATAACAAAAAGACGAAACTATATTGAGAAAAGTCTACCAAAAACTCGTAGCATTTTACCAAAAACATAAGTTTAAGTTGTCTTTATATAAGTTTCTTGAAGACTTACTATTTCAAAGTTTATGCAATTGTTTCAGAAGTCTAAATTTGATGCGATTGTACAGATAATTTTCTAACCCATTAAAAGAGTTAGAAAAGATATATAAAACAACAATAATATCTATTATACACTAGTACATTTAAGGGAAAAGACAGCGGTTATTTTCGCTTATAGACACCAGTTCTGCAACCGAGGCATATACAAGCGAGATAAAAAGTCTACCACTTTTTGCCTCGGTTCAGAACTGAGACAAAAAAGTGTATGTTTTTGCCTCGGTTAAAATGCAACCGAGGCAGTATAGGTTATTTCTTTTTTTTACTTTTTTTTCGTGATTGGATCTTACGCCTCGGTTTGGATTTGAACCGAGGCATTAGAATGATTTTTTTTTTGCCAAATTCAATTCTACGGCACCAACCATTTACTGCATGTAACAGAATTATTTTACAACTCATGATCAGAACAACTCATAAATAGAGTCTCTGAGAAAATTATTTTACAACTCATAAGGTAATCAGAATTCTAATTAATAAGATTCCGTAATAGCTACCTATCTTCAACTCCTCTTTTAATTCATAGGTTGCAGACGTCTGGCATTTGAACTGAGCAACTTGCAAAATTTTGCCACACTCAGTCCATGAAGAGCATTCCTCTTCATTGCTGGCATTTATGAAGCAGGATTGACATTGTAATTAAGGCTAGTCAATGGAGGATAAAGGTCGAAGCGCTTACCCTTCAGAAATGGCAGTCTTTCCAACACCAAGCTCACCAATCAGCACAGGATTTTTATTTGTCCTCCTGAAGAGAATTTGGATGCATCTACGTATTTCATCATGTTATACAATTGTCAGTACTCAACACACTAATGGAATTTATCGAAGTAACACTTGCAGAGTTTATACATTTGTATAAATTACTTACAAATTCCCATGATATTCCTTTCTGATAAGTAATCACCTAGTGTTTCTACACATCTCCAGCTTGAGGTACTACATAGATGTATTACAAGGACAAACAAAAAGTAAGAATCCTAAAAAGTAAAGTTCAATCAGTGAAAATCTTTTATGGAGCACGTAAATTAACCTGATACTTAAACTTCTGATTACTAGACCAGCAAGGAAGCACTTTCTTCATTCCTCATCATCTGGCAGTCAGAGAATCAAAAGGAAAATTTTAAACAACTTCCAAGAACCAAGATTCAAGAGACTTCAATTTAAATACTCACCAAAATTTATACCGGTGTTACCAATATGCAGTCTAGAGAGTCAATGATGTATTAAAAACCACTTCACCCACTTAGGTTCTTGAAGCACCAAACAACTTTGCTTTCCAGATTGATCCATCTTCTAACACAAGCCTAACATCTGAAGTTTTCCAATGAAGACAATTTAAATAGAAGGCTTTGGCTTCTATTCCAGAATGAACAGAACCTTCTGCATTCACAGGGGTTGAGGGCTCGGGAGCGGGCTGGACCAGGTGTTGGGCCAGCGGCTCCACCACTGGCATAACGGCCACAACTTGGGGATGGGGATCTATATTAGAACCCTAGGATCTGTTATCACTCCAACCGACCACCGCTTCCTCTTCACTCCAGAGGCAACGCACTCGCAGGCGAGGTGGAAGCTGCGCTCGCAACCGTTGCACACGACGAGGTTCTGGTGGCTCCCGGTGGCGGCGGGGCAGGGCTTAGAGCAGGCAGCGCAAGGAGCGAGGCCATCGCTTGGAGGGCAGCGGGGGCTCCTAGCGGCGGCCTAGGGTTTCAACGTTCGGTGAGGACGACGTCGGTAACGAAGTCCGGTACGGTTTCGACGAACAACGAGGAAGACCGGCAACGAGGCAGCGCGAGGCTTCTTCTTGAGCGAGAACACCGGCGGCGTGGTGGCGACTGAACGACAGAGAGGTGGCGACGGAGACGACGCTGTTTGGAGGGGGTTGGAGAACAACAGTGAGATGGAAGAGTTTGCGTGAGAAGAAGAGGAAGAAATCTGAAGGGTTACTTCGGAATATTAGAAGCTATAGTGAGCTTAACCGATGCCTAATCAATTAGAAAATAATTAAAAATGAAAAATATAATGGCAATTTTCTTGCGTGGCAATATTTATGCCTTGGTTCTGATTGTAACCGAGGCAATATTTAATTTTCATAACATTTGTCAGCGTATATTTAAGATGGCAGGGTGAGTTGACAGTACATTATGCCTCGATTGTTGATTTAACCGAGACGGTAGACTTTTTGTGTTTCAGTTATTTTTGAACCGAAGCATATAATTTTTTCAAAACTACGAAAATGTCACCGCGCTTTTATATGCTTCGGTTTTAATAAAACCGAGACATATACAGCGCGTTAAAAAACCCATCAATAAAGAAACCTCTTGATCCCTCTAATCAAAAAAGAAAAAAACATCAATAAAAATAACCTTTAACAAAACTTATCCACTAACAAAAAAAAAGAAAGTGTCATACATATACAACAAAGATATCAAATATTGTAGGGTTATAGCATCTCCTTAACATAAACAAATATATTACTTGTGCCTAAGAATATTTTTAACGCTAACGGTTGCATAACAAAAAGACGAAACTATATTGAAAAAAGTCTACCAAAAACTCATAGCATTTTACCAAAAACATAAGTTTAAGTTGTCTTTATATAAGTTTCTTGAAGACTTACTATTTCAAAGTTTATGCAATTGTTTCAGAAGTCTAAATTTGATGCGATTGTACAGATAATTTTCTAACCCATTAAAAGAGTTAGAAAAGATATATAAAACAACAATAATATCTATTATATAAGTAAGTATACTTTTTGTAATTGTTTAAAAATACTAATATATCTCCATAAAAAAATATTTTCCAAGAAAATTGTAATGTGTGAGACAAATAGTATAAAACATGTACATCAAACTATTTATCTAACTTATCTTATTTAAATTAAAGTAAAAATAATTCAATATTTATTATAAATACAACAACAATAATAATTTATCTAATTATGATTATACCGTATGACCATACATGAAAACTTAACTAATAATCATTAATAAGTATATTATTAGTTCTCTTGTGGTATGCAAAGATTAATATAAAACCTTCTTCCTTTAAAAATGGATAACAACGTAATAATTAAACAATAAAAAGAATAAAAAAAGATATTGGTACCTTCTCCAACCCTTTTCTTGTGCATTGACAAAATGGTTACTTTATTTTTCTTGACATTTTTTTTTTCAAAAGACACATTGTTTATGTCTTTTTATTTCCTAAGAACTTTATGCAAAATAATGTACTTTATAAAATACATAATAATTTTTTTAATTAAGTAAATAGAATCTAATAGATTCGTAAATCACATAAAAAAATACTAGAAATAATATTACTGTAACATCCCAAAAATCTCATACTTAAAATTTCATAGTTGATATATATTGTAACTTACATTTACGGTAACATCCCGTAATCTTACCCTTAAAAAAATTTTCTAGTTGATATATGTCTATACATGTTGTAAAAAAATCCTAACTTGAGTTCTACTTTATTCTTCTATCTTTTCCTTCCTTGGCACTGAGTCAGACGTTATTCCTTCATCTGCTCCCGTATAACGAATTATACGATCATCGCACATACCCAAACACAAACAAGTAGGGGTGAGCTAGACATAAAAGCATGTTATACAACCTCACACGACATGCAAAAATAATCACTTAAACATGGTAAAATCACATCACAGGACTTGTTACTTTATAAACCGACTCGACTCTACTCGACTTGTTACTTTATAAACCGACTCGTCCGGACTAGAATGATTACCGAGCTATGACGGGTCTTGCACTCGTGGTGGCTTGTGAAACTTGGGCTCCCCCACCCTACCACACTCACGAGGTTAATCACTCACCCTGGGCCATACTGGAAGCACCCAAGACTAGGACCTCCTGCTACTCCTCACCACATGGTTCAATCCTCTCTACGTGAAAAGAAAGACCATTGAAGTNTGAAGTTTCAGGATGATCCCCAAAACTAAGCTACCATGCAATCATTCTACACACCACCAGGGCACCACCATGTATCCTCTCCTTGAAGATCATGAAATTATGTCCATGAACCATACTGTTACTTTGAAACTTAACCCAAGACATGAATAACCAGATACCATCATATTATCACAGTGAATCCAACATATATCATACATTCACATACTTCCCACATAAATCACAAAATAAATCAAAAATTCTATAATATCACCATAAATGGTCACCGAAGAAGAATCAAATGTTTGACGAATCAAACTCACCATAAACGCCAGTACATATGACTAGTCACAACTTACTAGATTAGACCAGGACTGCTCTATGATCAGGGATGTACTAACTCCGGTTTTTAAGATTCCTCTATCCTACCATCACAATTATAATTCATAATTCCATATCTACCACAATAACATGAATTCATCAGAAATATTCATTCCAACAAGATTTATTGTACAATAATTTAAGAGTACATAATCTGTTCAACAAGATTTAAGTTAAAAACTTGTCGAGTAGACTTCTAGGAAAGAGAGGTGCGTCACAATGGACAACTTAAGTACCAAGTTCCCTTGGGATAAATTCCCCAGATCTAGATTTCTATGTATTTGTCAATATCAAAAAAACCATTAATCATGTCATGAATGAGTTAAACACAATAAGCATAGAGCAAAGAGGAAAAACCCTAACAATTAATGAAAGAAGCATATATAAATTAAAACCAATTCAAATACATGAGAGTTTATGAGGTTACATCTTTTCCAATAACAAATTAGGTTTAGTTCTCCATTGTCATGGAGAAACTAGATGAACAATGGAATAAGAATTTGCGCATCCAATTTTGCCTCCAAAGAGTCGAAAAGTCTAAATTTGTGTCCCTTTTGTTAAAAGGTATCTCCTTTAAAATGTGCAAGTCATTAAATAGAGCAGAATTACATCATGGGCCAACATCGCCAGCGCTCAACACCCCAACTAAAGGCCCTCAAGCGAGCTTGCGAGAGAAGTGGCGCTCAGCGCCCCTTGAAGGGTGCCAAGGCGTGACTACGAGACCTCTGGCGCTAAGGGCCCCACAAAAGGGCGCCTAAGCGTCCTGCGACCCTCTATAGCCAGCTCTTATTGCGTTATTTCTGTCCTTTCTGTGTTCCAACTCCTTGGTACTTTAACTCCTCTTCCAAATCATTCTAATTTCTTACCAAATCAAGGGAATTTAGTGATAAATCCATCAAGTATAACCTCAACTCTCTTATTCACAAAAGTAAACTAATAGCAAGAGATCAAGCAAGTTTCTAAGTCAAAAGGGGTTCATTTAGTATCAAAATTGAATCAGAAATAACGGTGAATTCAACCATTATCGATGGTCATTAAGTACTTAATTTCTCTAGCTTAGTAAGACAATTCATGCACTCTTGAACCTTCATTTTATTTTCACTTTCAGCTTGGTTAGATGATTTTCTCACACTTTTTAATTCATATTTCAAGCTATCATCCTCTTTGACTAGACTTTCAATTCTCTTATCTAAGTCTCTATTCTCACTTTTCAGCCTATTTACTTGATATTGAATTTTCAATGCTTAACCATGTAGTTCTTGAAATGCATCAAGTAATTAGTAATACCTGTCCTTTATTGATTCATCTCAAAAGTTTTTGGCACTACTTTTAGAACAGATTAAGCCTACAATCAAACACAGATTTGTCTCCTCTTCAAGGCTTTTATCTGAATCACTTGATGGAGATCTTAATGCATTGTCTTCCCAAGCCACGTAAGCCTTTTTCTGCCTGTGTTTCTTGCTGTCATGACTGCTTTTATCATTGAACTTTTGCTTGATTATCAAATCTGGATAGTCAAGTTTAATATGCCCAACTTTGCCACATTCATAACAGGTTGAACCAGTAGCAGTTTTTCCTTTCCTCTTATTTGATCTTATATTTCCTGCAAAAATAGAATTGGATTTATTTTTGGATTTCACTAATTCTGAAAACCTTTCTACCATCAGA